ATTTTACTTGGATTTCACTTCTGATTTCAGGTATTTTTTCCTGTTGTTCCGTATTTAACCCAATTTTTTCTAGGTGATTAAGTGCATTTTCTAGTTGTCAATTGTAATAGTTTTGTGCTGTGTCAATATTATAGTGAGGTGGAATCATCATTTGATTTCATAGTTTCACTAGTAGTTTTTCTCTGTTGTTACATATCTAACCATCTCACTTTTCTTTCTAGTTGATTAAGTGCTACATCTAGTCATCATCAGTGTCTGTGTGTTATTTTTGCCACCTTTTGCATAATTCTGTTGTTTAATTTGCTTTCTGTTATCTCTGGTGTTCTCTTTTGTCACATATCTAACTTCCTATTTTCTTTCCAAGTATCAAACCTCAGTATTAACTTTGTGGTATCTTGGTGGCATTGTTCTGTTGTTGCTGGAGTTATCATCATGATTGGTGTCTGCCATTTTGCTATTATTGAAAGTGCCATTGCTTTGCTAAAGGCATTTTGCTTTTGGTGTGGTTGTTAAAAAATATTTATGTAGTTGGTATTGATTATAATAATTAGGTGTAATATTAGGTTTGTAAGGGATATATTATAGTGACTATGATAGTGTTATATAGTTTTTAAAATTAGAGTTTGGTTGCTGGGGTTAGAATTATGGTAACCATGAGGAGTATTAGATGGTTGGTTAAGGTTAGATTGTTTAGAGTTAAAATTAGATATTTAGTAATAAGGTTATTTTAAATATGTTCATCAAACTATATATTGCACACAACAATTTTAGCATGATTTTTTTATTAGTTTTCTATATTATTTTTATTATTTTTATGATATAGTTATTATAAACTGCTTTAATTAATAATACTATTGCTAACTAAACTTGCAAAGATTAATTATTAATATGACACAATAGGATCATAAGTTTTTTATCGTAACTAGCCATATGCCATAAAATTCATTGGGACAATTCTGCTACATCATTAGTAGTTATCATAGTGACAATTCTAATACTTTATTGAAAAAGCAAAAACTTTATTTAGAGTAATATGTTGGCTAAGGGATTCAGAACAAAAAATATTTATTCTTAATTTAAAATAAAAATAATAATAATAATAATAATGGCAATGATGATAGAAATAAATATAAAAATAATTATAATAATAATGATGATTATTATTATTCACTTTTTTTAAAAAAAAAATAAATAAAAATAAATTATTAATATTTACAGTATTAATTTATTAAAGTCTTTTTAAAAAATTAAACCTTGTCTAC